CCACCTCCAGCCAGGGCTGTGGGATGAGGGCTGGGCAGGAGGCACAGGCAAGAGGCATAAAATCACAGACAGCATTTTTGAGAAAAGTTAAGCAGTTTATTCAACGGGATGAGTCCACACCCAACCAGTGGCTTCATCTACATGGCATCACCAGCACACACAAGGACCCACTCAGACACTCTAGCTGACGGCATCTCACCATACAGTACAGAGACAACACCAGGGGAGGAGGAGGATGACCGGTACGAGGGGCAGCAGCCAGCAGTTCCCCACGGCTGCCCGGCGTAACCAACCCCGTCCCCACCACACCTCACGGCCCAGCCACGCGAAGCACATCAGGCTCGGGACATCTACTGCCGCCCCTGAGAACCACAACACCGCTAGGGAAATGACACACCCGGGGCTACAAAAACGACCTACCAGGGGACTCCAGCCTAAGGGACAAAGTGCACTGCCATCTCCACCCCGGTGACCGCACGCATCGCTGAGGGGCTGTGCGGGGAAGGGGCTGCTGCGGTACCGTCACGCTCGGTCAGCACCATCCAGGCCGTGCTGGGCCCCAGCCAGGGCCAAACTGCCCTGGCACCGCAGGACGGACGGGGCAGAGCTGGGGGAACTGGGCCGAGATCAGCGCTTGCTCTGCACAGCAGAGGAACAGGCGCCCGGTGCAGCCGCCCCCTCAGGGCTGGGGGTCCCGGGGGCTGCACGGCCCCTCACCCGCGGTGCTGCAGGGGGGCAGGAGCACACTGCACCCCGCTCCCGGCCCTGGGCTCTCACACAAACTCTGTGAGGCCCACGCACAGTCCGTGCCCTCGGGGAGGCACCGAGGGTCAGGGTTGGTTACTCCCAAACCGTGACCGGGTTCCAGTTATGATGCTCCTACAATGTACGTGGTTTGATTCTGTGCCAAGTTTGCTTACAGAAAAATACATTTCTTCCCTTAAATTTACAGTAGTTAAAACTACACTTGGAATACTGTATTACAAAGGGGGAGTTTATTCTCCAACAAAAAGTCTTGGTTCCCTTTTCATTAAACAGAAAAATGGAAGGACTTTAAAAGCAATCGCCTCCAGCACAACACAACTGCCCAGACAAACCCATGTGTGTACAGCTCCCAGGCCCGAACTCCAACCATTTGTTCTGGTGCTCAAAAAGGCACTTAAAGATAAGAAAACAATTGTATTAAAAATCCACAACAAAACAAAACAAAGGAAAATGAAAGGCAATAATTTAATAGAAAGACACCGGAACTTGTACCGTATCTCCAAAAGTAAGAAGGGAGGAAATAAAACCCCAAGTGAACACGGGTTTGCTCTCAAGTCATCTTGGAAATAATATTAAAAAAAAGGAAACTGGCAAAGTGAATGTTCTCCAGGAACTAAACGGAAATAAAAATAAGAATTACTGGCAACAGACACAGCGCTCATGCCAAATGGGTCCTTCCCTTCCCAGCACACGGCCGTGGGCAGCCCGGCCTGGTGGAACATCTGCTGCCACTGCGCTGGGCCGGGCCGGGGGCTGCACCAGGAAAGGGGGATGATGGAGAAATAAACACCAACATGAACCAACTGTGGTCATTACAAATGCCAAGGACATTCACAGACAAGCACACACACACCGTAGTCCCCGCCGATGGGACAGGGAGGGACACGGGCAGAGCTGCTCCCCACGGGCTCTGCGACGGGCGCCGGCAGCTTTGCTTCCCTTCAGGGTTACTATTATTATTACTGGGTTTATTTTTACATCGAGCTACCTACTAAGTGCAAAGATTTGGTGAGTGGCATCGGCTTTTATCTAATCTTAGCCTATTTTTGTACAGTTTACAGGTTAACAGTTACTTTCCAGCAACTAAGCAAGTACAGCAATATTTACAGGGCTGGCAGAGCGGGGGGCGAGGGGACACGCGCTGGGCACGGGACAGGCACCGGCCCGTCCCGACGGCTCTGTGACACCGGGTCTGTGACACCAGCTATGTGGAGGGGCAGACACGGAGGTTCAGGGGTGGAGGTACGGATGTGGAAGTGCAGGCATGGAGCAGGAGCAGGTGCAGAGGGGCACAGAGGGAGGTGCAGGCGGCCTCACGTGAGGGTGAGCTCCCAGGCTGAGACAGGAGCCCTGGCAGGACCACTGTGCTCCACTGCCCTGACCGGTGCCTCCACCGCCTTCTGGAAGCCAAGCTGCTCCTCCTGCAGAGCTGGGGGTCTGCAGTGGTGCTGGAGCGGTGAGGAAGATGAAGGGGGGACAAAGCAAAGGCCCGGGCAGGGGCAGGGGGCTGCTGGCTGAGGCAGGAGGGTTTGCGGGCATCTTTGCCCAGGCACAGACAAAGCAGCAGGGTCAGAGAGAGCGGGGAGGAAGGATGAACGTTAAGGAGCCATTAGTACATGACCATGGGGAAGTGCCAAATCAAACCGTGGGGCATTGCATGGAAATCTGTACAAGGAAAAGCTGCAGGAGAAGCACAGAGCGTCTTGGATTCAGCGCTTAGAGCAGAGCCTGGATTATCAGACAGGACCATGCAATCCCCAGCTTTCTGCATATTTTTTTCTCTGGGTAAAACAAAATGTAGATTCCTTTGCATAACTCAAACAGTTGTATTATATGGTACAGTACAGAAAGTGCAAAGTATCACCCATCAGATTGGTTCTGCATCTGACACGATCAAATATGGCTCATGCTTCTCATGCAGGATCACGCACTCTGAACCGAGACCCCCCTGTGCCGTTGGGCAGCTTCACACCGAGGAACGTGGTGGTGCCAAAGCCTCCTCACTGATTATGCCCAACTGTCGAGAGACAATTGGGTTGTCTTCTTATTAATTAAAAAAAAAAAAAAGTGTGTGGGGAAAGGGAGATGAAGTATCTCCAAACTGTGTAAGTCAGTCCACACTTTACCACAGGTTTGTCACTAGTCCTTGTTCATTCTGAAACCTTCCAGAAAAGCAGCATTCCATGGCCCCAGTGCAGCACAGCATCCTCCTCCTGTGTGAAGGTGATGGTGCACACCTCACTCTGTCCCCACTCACGGCACACAGCTCACTCTGTCCCTGCTGCCCGGGGCATCACAGGCACACAAAGACGTCTCAGGATTCAGGACCGAACAGACTCCAGCTGGCTGGACACACACCATCATTTATGGATTTCCAGCTCTTCTCTACAACCCAGCAGTGAACAGACCCCACTGTATCCCCATCCCTTTTTTTTTAAATGTCAAGAGGTGTAGAAACTAAATTCCAGGATGGCCTTGTATTGCTCGACGCATGGCTGCTGCGGTGTGGGCCTCCACCCACGCACAGAGTCCGGGAAACCCAGCCCAACCCACCGTCTCCAGAGAGGACATTTCAGAGCCAGTTTCTGAGGTAAATCTACTGTTTTAAAAAGTCACTGAATTCTGTACATTTTGTTTTTAATATACTCCTACAGAGAGCATGTGTTCTCCAGTGCTGACACGCAGACCTGCTGTCTCCTCCTGCTATTGGACTGCAAGCTCGGGAAGTGTTTCTGCATGGATAGGGTGTGTGCACACATATGTACATACACACACACACACACGTATGTACAGCACCAGGCCCAGGCTATGCACGTGTTCCCTTTTGGAGAGGCTCCCCCCAGCAGGGCTCTGACCCCAGCTCGGCCCAGCGAGGCTTTGCCATGTCCGGCCCCGCTCCCGCCACCCGGGCCGCGGCTCTCCCGCCGTGGTCCCCGCGCCCCAGCCTACATGGTGCCCGATTTATCTGCCGAGCTGCTGGGGAAGAGCTTCTCGGTGGGGGTGACGGCAGGGCTGCCCACCCCCGAGCTGCTGCTGCTGCTGGAGCGGTGCTGCACCACGGGCCGCACCGGCCGCATGGGCGGCGGCCGCAGCTGCGCCCCGGCCAGCCGGGCCGACAGCGCCGGCTTGAAGGTGGTCATCATCTCCGTGGTGGAGCTGCTGCTGCGCCGCATGGCCGCGTCGGGGTCCCGGATCAGGATGGTGTGCAGGGGGCTGGCCGGCTCCGAGTTGGGGGCGCCCATCGGGGGGTTCTTCATGGGCTCCAGCGTGTCCAGGACCACGTCGGGGGCCTGCTTGGCCGTGTTCTGCCTCTCCAGCTCCCGCAGCTCGTTCAGCGCCGTGCTCATGGTCTTCTCGATGTCCTGTGAATGCCAAAGGGATGTCAGCGCTGTGCTACAGCACGACCCGCTCTCCTCCAGCTTCCCAGCAGCTGCCCGCTCCACCTGGGCATCATCCACCATCCCATAGCTGCTATTCCTGCTGGAGGTGACATGAACCAAACTGCTGGGATTGGGGGCACTGAACTGCCTGTCCACAGGTTTCCAGCCCCCAAGCCCCACGCCAGCCCAATCACAGCTGCTCAGACACAATGGGAGGGACTGTGCCTGATCAAGGTGGTTGGTCTCTGAAGTGCTAGAGAATTCCACAGCCAGTTCTTCGAAAGATCCATTCTCTGGGATGTGAACAGGTTCAGAATAACCTGAATGATTCCTAGATGGGGCCTCCCGCCAGCGGCAGAGAGAGGGACCTGGAGCTACACTGGGGTCACAAGAATTAAAGGAGCCCCACGGATCCAGTGGCCTAACGTGACACCAAGGGCACCACATGGCTGGAGACACCGCACGGAGATCAGACTCATGTTCTGAGGTCACAGCAACAAACAGCCAATACAGAACTGCAGCACCTTTCCCCAAACAGCGATCATCAGTCCAGTCACACTGATTCAGGAAATCCAGTTTCCTCCCTAAGCTCCTTATGTAGCATCCAGTGAGATAAAGCATTTCCCTCCCTGCAGAGGCAGGAGCTGCCAGTGCCCTTTCGGTGGATCCAACATTTCTGCCTAATGTGGGGCAGACATCAGGATTGTGTAAGGAGCAGTATCTTCCATGACACCAACAGATACAAGTGGGCAGCAGACAAGCTGTTGGCTGCTCATTTTAACCTTTACACCATGGCAGCACCATAACTCTGAGTGCCTGAGCTGGAGGGGCTCTGAGCACTCCCCAGTGACCTCCCCTTTACTCTCTCAGTCCCTTCCCAACACTCTTACCTCAGCAAGAGCTTCTGCTTCCAGAGATTTCTGATCTCCGAGGCTGCTGTGCCGAGTGGACCCGGTCGATCTCAGGGGGTGGCCATCAGCCAGGGCCTTCCTGTCTGGGAAATTGATGCTGCCCGCGCTGCCAAACGTGGCCATCCTGCGCTTCTCGGGACTGTCGATCCTGCCCCTGTTGAGGGGGATCTTGTGGGGGCTGCTGGGGCAGGCTGCTGCTCGAGGAGGGGTGTCTATGCCGGGCCCCATCCCTCGGGGTGGGCTGTGGGTGTCGCCCCCGCTGCGGCGCCGAGGGATGGCTGCACCGTCAGACCTCAACCTCACCCTGCAAAGAATCCAGCACAGCGGGTCACCATCCATCAGCCCCACCACAGCTGGCTATGGGCTGCAACCGCTCAGCTCTGAGTTCAGCTCAGACCAAACTCGAGCCTTTCAGCTCCAGAAGACTCGGGCAAGAGGGAAGACAGACATTTAAGCCAGTACCAAGGAAGGGACAGCACTGAATCATAGAATTCCAGAATGTTTTTAGCTGGGACCTTAAGGATTATCTTGTTCTAACCCCCTACCACAGGCAGGGACACCTTCCACTGGACCAGGTTGCTCAGAGCTCCATTGCACCCTCTGTACACATTAAATCCCCATTATCAACGCATGTGGAACCTCCTCCATGCTCATACTATCCAGCAGTGCTTACTGGGCCCTTCCCTTCCATCCTGCCCTACCCCACACACTGATTGTCCCCACATGCGATGGTGACCAACTCCATGCTCACAGAGAATGAGTTTCCCTTACCTGCCCATCACTCCCCCGAAGCCATAGTCCATGATGTGATCCGTTGGGGACTGGATGTCGTTCTTGGAGGAGGCTTTATCATCAAGCAGTGGCCCACTGCTCGCCTCGCTGTCTGCTTTCTGGCTCAGGCTGTCAGAGAACGCATCATCCCTGGGGAAAGGAGACCCCATCAGTGACAGGGCTGTGTCCCTGCAGAGAGCCAGGGCCCAGCTGCCACACGGATCTGAACACCCCCACTCCAGCAGTCCACACTCGGGTAACAAAGGGCTGGACCAAGGCCAGCACTTCACTGGGAGCTTGGACACAGCTCCCATCCCGTCTCCACATCTTCTGTTCTGTGGCTGCCATTGTAATGACTCCAGGTACAGTACCTGGAAGAGAAGCAGCACCGGCAAAGGGCCCTGGGATCTGCTCACGGGCCAGGTGGGCACTGAACAATCCAGGCCAACACTCCCAAGGGAAAGGCCGGTGGTAAGCCTGGGTCACACCACTCTGGGGAGTCAGTGAGAGGTGGGGTCCAGGCACACTGAGGTACAGTGTTCAATGCTTGGCTTTATCAGCCTCAAAGAGAAACAATCAGAGCCAATACATGGAGATGTGAACAGGCTCAGATTTCTCACTGAAGTCATTAAACCTTGTAAAATGTGACCCATTATTTTAGGTGGCTGAAGTGGAGCTTGTGTAGGTACATGATTTTAACACCCTGGATCAACCCTTACCACTTTACTCACATGTCTTGCACCACAATGTACTGGTGGGGGATGAGCCCATCCACCCCGTTGTGTCTCCCTTCCCACCAGTCTTCTGATGCCCGATGGTAGAGCAGGAGTGAGGCCCCTTTCTTGAAGGAGAGCTCCCGTGGAGATCGCCCGATGTAGTCAAACTTGGCTATAGCTTCAATCTGCTCCACCTCTGCACAGGAGAGAGGCACAGCGAGAGAACAGCTCAGCTCAGCCCTCACGAGGGAAGATAAACCCTAGAGAGACATCTCAGCAGAGCAGCAGTGTTGAGAGCATCTCATACTGAGCACAGACCTTCTTATTTTCAGACTGATCAATTCTTATTGCTGTTCTAGCCTTCCTGGGATCTCTCACAGACTCACAAACTACCAGCAGTTACAAACATCTACAACCAGACGGGGGAGCAGTTGGAATTTCCCTGTATTCATTTGGCATCCTCACCTGCACTCCAATTTTCTGCCTTTGGTTACAGAACCCTATTATCCACCAGCCTGGGATCTCATCAAGCTGTGTCAGATGCTGTTTGATCAAACCCTGCTTACCTTCTCTTTCTTTCCTTATCCTGGAGACAGTTTGGCTTGAATTATTGATGAGCAACTAATGCCCCTTTGGGGATCCCCACGGAAATGATGATAGCAGCTCCAGCCACACAGCTGCTCTGCACCCATCTGCAGCACTGCCTGACTGCTTCCCCCCTTCTCCTAGTGCCACCCCTGCCACTGTCAGAGCCAGCCAGCAAGTGTTAACATGCCTTGATGACCTAAGACACCCAATCATTTTAATCCCCACCTGGAGACTGGCAGACAGGTGATGACAAAGCCAAACAGGACAAACCTGACCAGTTCCTCCTGATCTGCCTCGTTCTCATTAAAAACCTTTCTCACTGAAACCTGCTCTGCCCCACAACTGACCACGGGCTCAGCAGCTGTCAGGGTGTGACCCGATGCAAACTCACACAGAGCAGGGGACACCAGAGGAGGACACGGGAGATGCTGCCCCAGAACTCTGCCCATTCCAGCCCCACCTGGGACAGGCCAGGCCGCTTCAGCAGACTCATCTTCCCCACCTTGAGCAATCCCCACACGAGGGCAGTGTCTGGGAGCACCACAGAGGCATCAGTGGGAATGTTCTGGAGGAGACAGAGCTGGCAGGCAGCCAGGAGGGCTCCCACAGCCCTGACAGAACACTGGGCTCCCAGCAGGGAGTGCGTGCAGGGGAAGGGGAAGAGGGAATATATAAATTCATAAAATAAAGCTGCTTCTCTACTCTATGCTTGACCCACAGTTAATCACCCAGAAACCCCAACTGGAGCTATTAACATGGCCACCCAAGTGTGAAATTGGCTGCACAGCAGCTCCCTCACCTTCCTCTGCCAGGCCTGTCTGCTCCTGCCTGGAGCCAAGAGCAGGTCCTGAGCAGCCTGGCCCCATGTGCCCTTCCCTGTGCCAGGGGTCACAGAGCCCCTGTGCCATTCCCTGCTCCTGTGGCCCCACCAGCCAGGTGAGCCCTTCCTCCTGCCTGCAGCCCTCTGAAGGCAGATTTGCTCTGCCAGGGCAGGACACAGCTGAGGCAGCAGCAGCTGTCAGGGACACAGAAGGTGCTCAGCTCCCCAGGGCCCTTCCAACACAGGAAGCCCTGCCACGGAACAGAGCCATAGGGCTGGGCATTCCTTGCCCCACAGCAGTGCCAGCAGGTTCCCTCAGACTGCCCCCTCACGACTGGTGCCTCTGGGATGTGGGAAGCGCTGCCTCCTGCTCCGGCACCACGGCCTGGAGCGCAGATGCTCTGTGACCCACCCTGCCAGCACTCAGCCCATCCTCTCTCCCGACTCAGTGCACGCTCCTGTCCTGCACACACAGCTCTGCTGACACAGCCCCAGCCCTGCTCACACCGTGCTCACCATCGTCACTGGTGTGTGGCTCCGTCCCGTTGTCGTGGTCCGCCTCGTCGATGGTGCCCGGCTCGCTGTGCGGGCTGTCACTGCAAGGAAACACCCACTGTCACACCCCACACAGACCCTGCTCCCAGGCACCCTGCACAACAAACTTGCTGGGGGAAATTCTGGCCTCACAGATACTTGGAAGTCATGTTTTTAGTTTGCACAGGGCCACGATGGTCACTTCCCATCACAGCAGATCTCTGAGAACACCAAACACCCACACCACAATCCCCAGCCGAGAATGTCACGTTCTACTGCTCTTATGCCTTTCCTTGGATTTGGCAAAACAAACACAAAGTGACACCAAGTTAAATGTCCCATTTGCTCACTCAGAGTGAGCTTTATCACTTTATCATCTGCTGCACCAGGAAGGATGGTGGCAGGTGACCAGAGTCAGGGAAGGTGAGGTCTCAGAAATGTATAAAACTTGCACATAGTTCAAGTGTGTTATCAATCCTGCTTTGTTAAACCCAGACCTGAATGTGAGATTAGAATTCCAGCAAAAAAGGGAACTGGAAGGTTCAGGTTAACCTCGAGAGATGCCGTCTAACCAGCAGATTATGATGGAACTATGTGTCTTTACTCAAAATTTCCAGCCTTGGAGATATTTGGATAAAATGGACCTAAAATTCTGATTTGCTCTGAATACACTTCTGTGGATCCAGAGCTGAAAGAACCTTCCATCAATATTAGTATTTATACTGGAAAGAGTTTCTCCTGAAATTTTTACTGACGTTTGTAATGCTGATTCAGCATGAGCAAAAGGAATACTTGGTTAAACTGCCTGTTTTCACTGACAATACTAAATCAAATGAGTAGGGACTGCTTGGCTCGGTGTGCAAGAGCCTCTTGACCCGATGAAAGTTTCTGTACCCAAGAACCCTGCAGAGAACCTTACCAGTACTCCTCTCCTCCAGTCATGCACTTCTCGTAGACGGGCCCTTCCAGCTCTCGGTGGCTGGGGAAGATCCCCTCGTGGTGAATGATGATGGTTTTGATGACCTCATTGACGTGGGCCTGGCAAGACACCGGATCCTGCCCGTCGGGAATGTGCATCAGCGTGGGCCCGAAGCAGATGGCCAGGTTGTAGGGATCCATCATGTTCTCATCGCTGTACTGTGACAAGCTGCAGGCACACGGCGAGGGAGCTGCCGTGACAGCATTCACCAGAACACCACCAACCCCACTGCCCACCACCAACCCCACTGCCCAGGGGGGTACCAACCCCACTGCCCACCACCAACCCCACTGCCCACCACCGACCCCACTGCCCACCACCGACCCCACTGCCCACCACCGACCCCACTGCCCAGGGGGGCACCGACCCCACTGCCCAGGGGATTTTGGATTCACCAGCACTGGGCTGTCCCCCTGCCCTGAGCACACAAGGCTGGGGAAGAACCAAATACAACTCCCCACAGCAACACCAGAAAGGACTCGTGCACCAAAGACAGGGAAACCCTGATAAAAGGGAGGGCAAGGAGAAGCTCGCTGAAAGGGGACTCACTGGTTGAGGAAAGCAAAGAGATATCTCATGACCACGATGACAGCCCGAGGCAGAGTGACGACAATCTGCTGGATCTGGTGCACTCTCTCAGCGGGGTTCTCCATTTCTGGAACACATGAATAGAAAGCACATTCCTAAAAACCTTCTCAGGACCAGACAGCATGGCACCAGAGGGACTTGTTCCAGATCCAGTGGCCCACTAAGTGAGAAAAATAACACCCTGTCTCCAGATATGATCCACAGGTTTGGCATTAAGGTGCAAGCAGAGAATGGGGCACAGTGCTCCTCCACGGGGGAATTCATACATTCAGGTTCAGTATAAACAGCAAATAAAGACATTTCCGTGGGTTTATTTTTAAAATAAGTGTTTATGTATTATTTAGTTCATTCCTCAACAACTCCTCTGTTCCTCAAAAGCCTGAGTCAATGTGACACTGGAAATGGAGCACTTCTTGATTTTCTAGGGCAGATTTTTAAATGAGGTTTTTATTCATCTTACTCTTCTGGATTATGAATTGGGTCCTTCTGAGCCCTTCCACTCCCGTCTCCCACTGCTCTCAATAGGAATTAGAAATTCCTAGGAAAAAGATGAACTGAACCAGTGCTGAGTCAACACTTTTGGATTCACTTCTCTCCACAGGCACGCACAGAGCCCAGAGCTGCTGTCAGAAACCTGCTCCCTCCCATGGGAAGGAGAGTGATCCAGGGCTGTCCTGTGTTCTGTGGAGCTGATCCTGCAGCTGCTGTTGCACAGAAAGCAGAGGACAAGCACCAGAGCTTCCTGGAGTGGGTGGATCACACAGAGGTGCTTGTGGTGGCTCAAATTGCCATTTGCTGATCACAATAAAAATCACTGATAACATGTAGCTGGGCTGCCATTTGCTCATAATTCTGAGTAAAATCTGGCTTCAGTTCCAAGATGGACAGCATTATAATACTTCATTTGGGGAATTTTTCCATTTGAGGAATGGATTTATCCTGCTATTGCCTGCTGGGTTCTCTCTTTCTTCAGTTTGGTTTTACTAAAGGGGATGTTAGTTAAAAATATTCCCACCATAAATACAAACTGGATGAAACCCTATGACAACAGGCATGTGTTCTGAAACCCAGAGGCACAAACTCGAGGCACTTGTCTTTCTCAACGAGCAAAACATTTTGACTGGCTGTAATTTTGGAATTAACGGCATGACCATCATCACTCTACACGTGGGCACAGCCCTGCCTGGACTCTGCTGACAAAGGGCCTTTTCACCCAATTATTGCCCAGGTGCCTTTGAGGGGCTTCTCCATAAACCCTCAGCCCCTCAAGAGCAAAAGGAAGAGTTCCTCACTCTGCTTAGTCTGGACACTGCACAGCCTGTGTTCGTGCATGTCTGTGTGGCACTTCAGCTCAGATTCTTAATGGGAACAAAGCACTTTAACTCAATGAAAATCCATCCTTAATCAAAAGGTTGCAGGAGTAGCAGGAAAAGAAAGATGAGGAAAAGGAAGACTCTTGCTAAAATGAGAAAATAGAGACAGAGACAGAGAATACCATCCAGAAAATTAACAGATGCTGTTTGCAACAAAAAGCTCCCTAAAGCTTAATAAATTGTGCAAATTGGCATTAATTAGGGATGGTGCCAAAGCACAAGCCTATCTGCAAGCACACAGGCAATCAGATCATCAAGCACAAGTCCTGGCACCAGAAGAGACCTATCCCCTTCTCCTGGGCCTTGCCCCCTGGGAAGGGCAGACAGAGCCAGCACCAGCCAGACTGAAAATATCTGTCCAGGGCACGGAACTGATGCAGAACCAGCTTCCTTTGCTTGTCTCACAGGTGTGCTGTGCTGTTTTACACATCAAAACAGCAACAGTGAATTTCCTAAGGCTACTACATAAACCAACTGTTCTTGAGAAAGCAGAGCACATTCTTGTCCTGTGGAACAAGCCCATCCCTGCACCAGTCCCCTCCAGATATCATCTGTCTCCCCTGACATCACCAGATCCCCAGCAGTTCTGAACATGCACATTCAGAAGGGGGGGAAGGAGTGAGCGGTGAAGCCAAACAAAGGCCTTGAGCATTCCCCAGTCAATGCCCCTGAACCACCCACGTACAAGACACCCCAACACTTGTCCTGTAAAATAAAGTCCCCCTGTAGCCAAAGCATGCAGCACCTCCATCACTTCTGAAACATCAGACTCATTCTGCCTCCTTCCTTCCCCCCAGGGGAATAATTTCCACAACTTGCCAATAAATAAATGTCATTGCTACGAGGTACTGAGAGAAGCACACCCCAGCTGGGAGAGCTGATCCTGCAGCAGAATATGTGGAGCTGATTTCAGGACAGAACAAGAAGCAACCAGACTCTCCCTGACGTCAGTCCCAAAGCCCCTCAGCTTCTCCCTCTGCTCATCCCAAAGCACTTTCTGGTTCTCTTTGGGACAGCACATGTGGAGAACAACCAGGTCTGCAGACTCCAGGGTTGGGGCAGCTCTGCCAATAGCCAGGAGTTCCTGACCCTCACTATCTTTAGTGGAAGCCACTGAGCTAAAGCAGCTAAACCCCTGTGGGTCCAGGAGCCACGACTGTGGAGAGGTGACAGGCACAGGACCCATGGTGGCCTGTGCAGACCTGAGGCAGCAGGACAGCACCACCCCCACGAGGGGTCACACGAATAATGACCCCTCGTGCAACCCTCAAATGTGGATATGGCCTTGCTGCATGTGCAGCCCCCTGACCTCAGCTGGGAGACAGCTCTGGGGAGCCTCATGATGTTGGGAAGAATTCAGAAGAGCCATAACGAGATGTTTCCCCTCTCCTTCCTGCCAGCACTCCCAGCACACACTCCTGATGTCTTCTCCTAACAATTCCCACTGCCCACCCACAGCCCTTCTCACAGCACAAACCCAAGACTCACGTGTACCTGCCCCCTGTTCTTACCCACCCTGTTCTCCACAAAGAGCTGTCACAGGTACTTACTTATGGTAGATATCAAATCTTGAAACCTTTCCTTAGGAAAGAGGGGGTTTTCCAGTCCTCGGAAATACAGCTTCAAGACTCCAGCCACTGAGTTAATGTCCCGCTCATTCTGGTCATCAGCGAGGGGATCTTCACCTGTCCAGAGAAGAGCTTTTATGTCCAGTATCCCTATCAAGCTGCACTAACACAGCAAACGTTTTTTTTCCTCACTCAGTGGAACCCCCAAATTTCACAGGGTTCAGAAACCCTCCTTGTGTGCAATGGCAATGCTGAGTGGTTCCTGAAAACCAGTTTAGTGTGGGGATTTCAAACCTTTCCTGAGGATGATGATGCTATTGATCACCTCCCCTTCAGTTTTCCAGCCCAGTGCAGTTTGCATTTACAGCACCAGCCCAGAGAGCTGAGCAGGTCTGAAGGACGGTGGGTGAGAGCCTGAGGGGACAGGCTTGGCTGGAGGATGCAATTATGCCTCTGGAATGGACCCAATGGTTCTAGACAGCATTGTACTGACCTAAACCTATGAAAGGCTTTCAATGCCTAAGGGATGCAGATACCAATTCCTCTTAAACTGTATGTGCAAATCCTCCAAATCCAGCCTTTGACAATCCCACCACTGCCTTACCCTTCACCCTGATCTTTCTGATGCTGCTCAAGGATTAATGGCCACTCTTCCCACCTGGGCTGTCCCTGTCACAGCTCCCCTCCCCTGGGGGCAGCAGGACTGCTCTGCCCTGCCTTGCCAGCCTGGCACCTGCAGTGTGGGTTTGATTTTCTCAACAGAATCACTGGTGCCTCCACAGCCTGCACTGCCACCAGGTACAGGTGGGAATGCTGCTCTTTCCCTGGCACACTGCTGAGGAGGAAGAAGGATCCCCCAAACTGTTTTATGGGTCTCGTGTTCTTAATGACTGTGGAAAAGATTCCTGCACCTACCCCTACTTCTCATACTCCTTCCCTGGGTGACTGATTTGCTACTGCCAGAGATACAAGACTGAGAAACCCAGAAGGGATAAAACCTCCTCGTGTCTCACAGCAGAAAGGGCTTTACCCAGGCTGTACACCATGGCTAATGCCCCCAGCACACACCAGCCCCCACCAATGATCCCTGCTTGGACACAGCACCCCGCTGTACCTGCACAGCCTGGCTACACACCTCTCTCAAACGAGTTCTTGATGTCGTTGACTTCTACCTGGGAGCCAGGGACTCTGAAGATGCCCTGCTGTTGGAGGCCTGTAAGAGAACAACACTTTAGGAGAGATTTTTGGAACTGCTGGGCAGCACCTGCTGGTAAAAACAGCAGAGCCCAGGAGCTGATGCACTGGAGAGGCTTGGAGCAAGAGGGGACAGTCCTATGTGATTCACTGCTCCTCATACTCTCCAAGCAGGAACCACAGATGAAGGTGCTGAAAGGGTTCGTGTCCTGAGCAAACAATTTAATGTGGGTATGTCCTAACAAGACCTAAACACTGGCAAGTCATCCAACGCTCATCACAGCCAACGTGACTGGAATTCTAACCTGAGCCCACGGAGCAGCCTGCAGGCACCCCAGGCATCTCTGACACATCTCACTGCTCACCCAAGTGCTTTGCTCCAGGGCAGGAGGTTTCTGTGGACGCGCTGAGTCAACTCACCGTACAGATTGATGTAGCGGATGCAGCTTTCTACAACAAGTGGAATGGCCTGTCCCGAATCCTTCAGGAAAGGAAAGGAAAAAAAGGGAAAAATTACTGGTTTATTGCTAACAGAGCACAGGAAAAGCATTAAGAGATGGTAAAACCAGAGATTTGAAAATCAGTGCCATGGAGTTTATTAAGAGGACAGGCAAGGAAAGGAGATGTTACAGACATGGAGCCATCAAAGAGCGCTGAGGATACTGTGTGCAGACAATAATGTACAAAAAAAATTGTCACTAGAGGTGTGTGAAACACTGCTGCTCTCCCTGTCTGACTCAGACAGGGGACTGCTGCAAGGATCACAGCTGTTCCATCCCAAAGGTGGAATGCTGAGCTGAAATAAAACTTGTGCTATACCTGGTTGATGGAATAAGCTTCCAGTAACAGAGCTTAAAACAGTATTTTCCACTGAAGGAAAGAGCCATTGTCAGCAGGTGTTAAAAAACCCAACAAGCAGCACTGTGCATGGAAAGTGCCTGGGTCTGAAGCAGCAAAGAGTTTTGGCTTTTATTTCAAAGCTCTTTCTCCCCAGGCCCCTCGAGGAAAGGGCTGAAGGGGAAGGTGGGCCGTGGCTGACAGCCTGAGTGGACATGTATTTCCCTCTGGGCTCTGTTTGTTGTTCCAGCAGAGCACAGTGGCATCTCTGGGCAATTCCCTCCGTCTCACAGACAGGCAGCCAGTAAATACCTGATTCCTCGTTCGTGCATTCCTCCTCCCTCTGAGCACACAGAGAAGCAGCAGAGTGAGAAAAAGAAAACAGATTAAGCAGAGATAAGTTCAGTTAGAGGCAAGCGTCTCCTTCGGAGGCCATGAACGCTCAGATGCAACAGCAGCTTAGCAAGGGCCAACCCAGGCCTTTGGTTTGTCTGCCCTCCCTCCCAAACCCTCTGGCACACTGCACCCAGCCTCGGCAACCTGCAGGGACAACCTCTCTGATTTCCTCCCTCCTTGGACCTGTAGCATTCCCAGGAGCCCGAGGACAAGGCCAGGCAATTTTCTGGGAGAGCTGCCCTACCGTAGGGACACCTGGCAGCCCTGGGGGCACTGGGTGACATGGAGACCTCTGGGCAGCCTGGGGGACACCAGGCAGCCCCCCACAGCCCTGCTCTGTATGGGGCCATACATCCCAGGGGCTGGGCCATCCCCCCGAGGGGTCTCTGATAGCAGGAACACCCCTTGGCTCAGATGGATTTCTAGAGCAGATAATTCCTCCACCACAGTGCTCAACAGGCTGGGCTTTAATGAGCATTACTTTTTTAAAAACCAGTGTAAGTCAGGAGTAATCATAAATCCTAAAGGGATTAGCAGCTTTGCCAGCAGGCCTGTACTCCCCACGCTGGGGTGCTGTGTTCAGACACTGCCCTGGGGCATGTGGTTGAGCATTCCCCTGAGGGAATAAACCAGAGCTGGACAATGCCTATTAGTCCCCTAATCCAACAGCTTGTCCTTACTGCTTCCTACACTGTTTTCACTACAGCTTTCTCCAGCACAGGGTTAAACACTGCAACTGGAACAGCATCGCTGCCTTGGGAAATCCTTCCTGCAGTCGTGCCATCTGATCTTCCTTTCCAGGGCGGGTGGGAGCAGGAGGATGAGCAGGACACGCAGCCAGGACTGTCTCGTACCGCACATGGCCACGGCCAGCCCCCACTGCTGCCCTGGCCCGGGGACGGCACGGGGAGTGCCCGAGGGGCAAGGGGGGCTCTGGAGAGGAATCGTCACCGAGGCAGAGCCGTGCTGGCCACCCTGGCTGGGGGCAGGCTGCCAGAGGGACCCCTGAGGACAGCGAGCAGCCGGGACAGAGAGCCACCGTTCCACTCCCAGCGTTCACAGACACTCCTGCTGCAGCCAGCGAGTACCTTAATGAACGTTTCCATATTGCCGTTAAAGAGTTTATGATTATACACTGAGAGAGGCCTAGGTCTCCTCATTTTCTGTGGCTTAGGGGGAAGACATGGGGGCCTGGGAGAAAACGGAACAAAATAAGTCAACAAAACACCAACATAAATGCAATGACAGGGTGAGATCTCAAGGGTTATGACTGAGCCTATGAAATCAAACAGAAAAATCTCTCTCTGAGGACCTGGCATGTGGCTCCACGCGCCCTGCAGCTGCTCATGCTGCTATGTCCCATACCCACACTGCTCAGTGGGAAACTGAGGCACTGGTGCTCAGCAGGATTTTAACAGCTGCCTCCTTCCTCCACCACCTCAGCACTCCCTCAGCCTGAAAAGGCACCAGGAGCAGCTAAGGAGTTCAACTGGTTCCTTGATTTATCCAAACTAAATCACAGCTACCCCTGGAAAATGCTGGGGTCTTCCCATTTGTTGCTAAATGAATCTCATTCATCTCACAGAAGAGGCCAGAGAGAGGACAACTGGAACACCACCACCTTCCTGTGTCTAACTTCTGTTTGGGAATCCCAAGGATGGGAATCTCCTTCCCCCTTGCTAAGGATCAAGGACAGACCCCGAGACCCTTGAGATCCAGTCAGGGTAACAGCCATCCCTGCTGGAAATGAGGTCAGGGAAACCTGTGACGGGTTTCAGTGCAGTGCTCAGGGCTTTGGAGGGCTGTTCTCATTAATGCTATTCCCAGTCTGATTCCTTCAGATAATGAGGGGCATTCAGAGCCTACACCTAGAAAAGGGAGAAGAACACCACCACAAATCCCAAATGGATTCCTGCCCTGCCCTGTGCCCCAGGCTGTACCGATGTCTGCAGGGGAGAGAACACAAGTGCGAACACACCCAGAGCTGGGTGCTGGGAGCCCACCTGCAGGAGTTCTCACACAGCACTGCAGAGGACACAGACCATTTACACAGAGCTCGAGGCAAAGGTGACAGTCGGGGTCTGCTGGTTCCTTAATCAGATGTCTCTAATTAAGCAACTTGACACTCCTGCAGCTTCCAAACACTCCTCTGAGTGGCAGCTGAGGAGCAGAGGTGGCTGCTGCCTGTTGGAGCACCGAACTGGCTCCCTCTGGAGCAGCCCTGCCCTGTGCACCCCAGGGGCTGTGCCCTCAGCCCCCAACCACATCTGCACACCCCCAGCACACCCAGCTCTGGGTGTGGGGGCAGCACCGGCAGCGAGGGGCAGCTGATCCAACAGCTGATCCAACAGCGACCCGGAACACGGCCACAGGCAGCTCCTCAGAGTGCCCCAGGGCAGGGACACACTGCACAGCCCCCACTCTCTGAAGGTCCCTCTTGTCCCGACAGCCCCACTCTGTCCCAACAGCCCCACTCTGTCCCGACAGCCCCACTCTGTCCCGACAGCCCCACTCTGTCCCGACAGACCCTCTCTGTCCTGACAGATCCTCTCTGTCCTGACAGACCCTCTCTGTCCTGATGCCCTGATGCCAGTGGGCCTGGTATCAGCAGCACAAGGAGCCTCCTTCCTGCCTGGCAAGGCAGCCCAGGCTGCACCATCTGCTCCACCATTCCTAACAGGGAATGGGCCTTTTTTTGTTTGTGTTGTAGATTTTATTAAACACTGAAACAAGGTTGGAACAAGCTCACACGGAGAGAGGCTGTGCATGTTCTGGGGAGCTGTTTGGAGGCTTTGCTGACCCGTGTCTTGCTGTCAGAACACCAGTACACTCCTAGCGAGCCACTGGAGCTTTGTGGAGATGTTTCATGAACTAGACATGGATCAAAGCCTGTCACATTCACCCCAGCACTATCTCCTGCTGTAGAGGGATGAAGTCTGTGATACAGGCACGCTCTGCACTCCCAGGCAAAGCAGCCAGAGCTGGGAGAGGCTTTCAGGGACATATCAAAGTCCTCAAACCAAGGCGTGGGTGGACACCCTTGTGTCGCTCTGTCTGAACACAACCTGATCTCAGCTACGCTCCAGGGCACCACACTGTGCTGACATGGCACGTCCAGGCACATCAGAGCAAGCCAGCCAGAAACCACACTGCAGCAGAACTGAGGTCCTGCACATCATCCCCCTCAGCCAGCGCTGCAGGCCATGCAGCTGGGAAACACCATGTGGGGCACGGGGACCAGCAGCCTGCCAGCACAGGTGGCTGCAGGTGCAAACTGAACCCCACCAAGCTGCACCAGTAGCAAAGCAAAACCCCATTCCCACAGCCCCCTCCTGCCAGTGCCAGCCCTCCCCAGGAGCAGATGAAGGGGAAGAAAGTGCTCACCTGGTTGTTCCGCACTCAGCTCTTTCACCTGTAAGAAACACAAGTTCCCATCATCCCTCCACATCAGCCACCAGGGAAAGACCAGCACAGCACACCTGAGCAGGTGCTCACACCCTCACTGCTGGTTCCTACACCCCGAGGCAGTGTAGGAAGCCCAAGGTAATGGTTTCTGACAGAAAGAAGCTGAATTTGGGGAGAGGAGGTGCCCAGCTGTGCTATACAAGCCCCCATCACTAAAAGAGATCAGAAATCCAAGAGAGGGAAAGGGGCTGCAGTTCCCACAGACATCACCGGTTCCTTTGCCATGTGAAGCCCACCCTGTCCATACCCAGCAGCACTACAGGCCCTCAGCATGGGCTCCAGGACAGCTGCAGTGACGGGCTGAGTGCCAGCAGGAACGGGGCAGCCTGAGGAGGGCTGCAGCCCCAGGGAGGCCATGCAGATCAGCCACTCACAGCACCTGAAGGCTCTCAATACTCCCGTTCCCTCCATTTATTTTTAGCATTTGGATCTCATATAAATGCCAGGAGATCCCTGCTGATCAGATCTGTTCAATTTTTACAGTATTTGTCAACCCACTGAAAAAAACCAAAGTAATTTCACATGCTGTTTGTGCCTGCCTCCCAGGGCCAGGAAAGCTGAGTTATACTTCCTTTGCTAAGACACATAAAAGGAAGCATTTGGCTGCACATGCCTCCTTCCTGCTCTCCCTTGGCACCTGCAGAAAGCAAGCTGGCAGCCAATTCCTCACTGAAACAGCAAACAACTCCACATGAGTGGTTTGCAAATCCAGACTCCTTCCCAACAAGAATCAGCTCACACTGGAACGCAGCATTTGGTATTTCTGGGCTAAACATTTGCTGAATGCCTACAGAGCAGAACAATCCCATGGCCTGGGAGGAACTGAAGAGGCAGAGAATGGAAGTGGGTGGGAATCTCTGCTGCTGGAGAAGTAACTCAGCACTTCAACACATCGTTTCAGACTCAAAGAGATTTGTCCATGTGCATTCCCAAAGAAAGATGGGAGGAGTCATATTCTAAGGAAACCATGCCTTTTGCGTGTAGCTCAGGTGAGCAGCAGCAGCCAGGCACAGAACCATCAGTCACTCTCAACAACACACAAAGGTGAGGCTGACAGGTGACACCTGGTTTAAACCCTCTCAGGGGAGGGAGGCTCCTCCCCAGATCTGACTCCAACTCACCTTCTCCCAGAGTCTGCTTCAGCAGGTCATGTTTAGCCTGGAGCTTTGTGATGAGGTTACTGCCATTCAGATACTCCTTAAATTTCTGTAATCACAAAACAAAAAAGGTGGATTAAGCAACACAGCCCGTTATTGATGTTCACTGTTGCCTGGGGCCTGCTGGAGGGGGACTGGGCTGCCAGAGGGGGCTCAGAAGTCTGTCAGGCTCAGTCTAATCACTTCTCCCTGCTCCAGCCACTGGCTTGGTGATCTTATTAGCCCAGTCTCCTTGGTACTGCACCTCCTGCCTGGGAATGCAGGGAGGGCCAAAGAAAGGAGTTCAAAGCTGGCTTTCCTTTGTCATGCTCTCGTGGCTTCCTTGGCATGCATGTGGCTTCAGCTCATCCAGGGGCCAAGGGCAAATTTCAGCTGTGCAGGACAGGGAGGGAAGGCCTGGCTGATAGTTCACGGTCCTGAAGGCCTCCAGGAAGAGCCCCTGGAAGGTGACACACAGCCAGAGTCTGCACCAGGCTCTGAGCCTCTTCTACAGTTCTTGGTAAGTTTTTGGTCACAACTGGTCACTCCAGTTGTTCCTTCGAAGAGAACAACGAGGCAAGCACTGGGTTGTCAGTCCCTGTACTCTGCCCTGCCACTGAAATGCACTGAAATGCATTCCAGACCCAAATCTGACAGAAGACAAGCACTTAAAGAGACTGAATTGGTTCTTGCTTTTCATTAACGAGCACTTAACTGGGCCTCAGCCCTGGCAATTAATGCTTTGTGTCCTGTACGGCACGAGCTGAGACTTACTGAGAAATAGAACATTTCAGTCTCCTGCTGGTTAGCTCTCCTCTTGGCGATGTTGATTTTGCTCATGTAGGTCTCCGATGCAGCGGATTTGACCGACTCAGTGGAGCGGCTGTGCTGGAAGGCATCTGAAACATCAAAATCTTCCACTGTCAGCATGTCCTGCAAGGTCTGCATTGTGGCATCCAGCGTTTTCCGTACCTATTGGAAACAGGACAGCATGGGTTTGAGGCAGACTGACAAAGGGACACATCTTGCACCAAAGCAGCCAAGACCCCCTGAGCCCTGGGCTTGCACTGGCCGTGGTCTGTGGGCACTCCCAGCTCCCATCCCCCAAGGCCGAACGTGAGACCCCTCTTACCTCTTCGTTCTCTATCTTGAGGGTGGCCAGTCGTGACTGCAGCTGGTGGTACCTCATCAGCAGCTCAGTCTGCACAGGCTGCTGGGCGCTCACCTGACACACCTGACACGGGAGACATTCCGTGGGTCACATGCACCACACACACATTTCCATACCCACACAGTTCCCTCCAGCCCCTACAAGCTCCTGGCAGCCTCCATGCGGGCTGCATCACCCCATTTTCCAGCAGCAGTGCCCTGGACCTGGGCCAGCACTGAGCATTTTCACCCCTCACTCTGCCATCTCCCAATTACAGCAGGTAAATCAAAGCTCCACCGTACAGATCTGTGGGGCAGAGAGAGCAGAACTACAAGCTCCCTAATTGGGAGAGACACGAGCAAGAGGCAGCCTGAAAGGAGAAGCCCTAATGAGCCAAGAGTCTCATTAGGAAAGGAAACACGAACAGCAGTGTGTGAAGGCAGCACGGAGGGATAAAGAGCCCAGAACAATTTCACAGTGACAGCTCAGAGGAGGGGAGGGCAGGCCAGGCCAGGCCAGGCCCCTCTGCAGCCCCACAGGTGAGCGTGTTACCTCGTCCCCCATGTGTGGCTGGAACTCGAACTTGAGTGGCGGGCAGAAGACCTGGTTGCACATGTCCATGATGGTGTGCTTGTCGCTCCGGGCGTCCAGGTTGTCCACGGCGTTCTCAATGATGTCCAGGCCCTCGTGGCGGGAGGTTTCCAGGTTGTACTCGGCAGACAGGTACGTCCTGAAGGTCCGAGCGAGGCTGGCGTGGAATCCCAAATCACAGCACTGCGAAACACCGAGGGAAGGTCTGGTCACACAAACACTCCTAAACCATCTCCCAAAGTTCTCAAACACAGAGGGCTGTTGAAGCAAAGTGGCACTGGCCACCCTGCCCTGTAGTGTGTGCACAGCCTGCTCCCTCCCTGGGCAGCTGCCTGCCTCCCACCACCGAGCAGCTCCTCACGCATAACTGATCGCTCTCATGTCTACCTTGGGGAAAACGATAAAACTCAGAGCTAATTGCTGCCAAAATACTGTACCTTAGACAAAAGCCTCGTTTTAAAACCTCTCCTCACTGTAATTGAGTCTGGCATGTTAAATGTCGTACCAGCACAGGGATTTGCTGCTCTGAACGCTCCATCAGAGCTGAGCAAGAAGCAGCTCCTGGCAGCCCTGCTCCGGTCCCCTCTGGAGCCTGACCCAGGGCAGGGCTCTGCAGGGCTCCAGACCCACCAGCAGCGAGCAGGCAACCCCGGGAGGGGGCAAGGACAGCACTGAAGCACCACCCAAAATTTGGAGGTCAGCAGATATTGTTCTGCAGGGAAAGGTGAGACAGGGGATGCTGGAAGCAGGAAGGGCAAAACAACAGCGCCTCAGCCTGAGCCACACTCACAGGGCTGGAAGGAGAGCACAGTAAAACAGAAAGGCTGCAGTCCAAAACTGAAGCACATGTATTCCTGGGACTTAAGAGAGGGCTGTAGCTCCTGACAGAGGAAGTAAAGTCACAAAATTACTGCAGAAACAGAGGGACCCTGTAAGAAACACCTCGAATACCTCCCACAGCCCCAGCACCAAACCAACCACTGCCAGCAAACCACTCCTATCACATGAAAACTGCCATAGGACAACTTCTTTTGCAGAAGTTAAGCTGCTTCGCTGCCACACAGCGTAGTCCCACCACAAGCACGGCTGGGAGGACCAGCATGGCACAAAAGCTGCAGGAAAGAGGAGAAGGACTACGGTGCAATCTCAGTGACCCAAATGAGCCCAACTTCTCTGCAGAACTCCCTGCTGGGAGCTGCCATTTCAAAGGCACTTTCTCCAGCTCTGCAGCATCCATAGGCACTACTGAACCAATGCAGAAAGGCACAGAAAGTGATTCTGCATCAGAACATCAGATTCACAGAATCACAGAGTCACTGCGTTGGAAAACACCTCCAAGATGATCAAGTCCAATCTCTGATTGACCAACACCTTCCACCAGACCAGAGCACCGAGTCCAGTCTTTTACACTTCCAGGGATGGTGACTCCACCACCTCCCTGGGCAGCCTGTTCCAATGCCTGACAACCCTTTCTGTGGAGACTTGAAGTGAAATCTGAAAACTCAGCTGGTGCCACAAGCAGCTCCAGCCCAAGAAGCCGTCTTGTGCTCTGTGCTGATGTGAGGAGACACCGCTCAGCTCGGATCACGTCACAGCAGGGCTGTACTTGGTTCAGTCTCTGCTAAAAGCAGCATCAGCAAAGCCACAGGGGGCTGATTCCCGATTCCCCTCACAGGTACCCGAGCGAACACCCCTGTCCCCTTCTAGTCTTTAAAAGCTGTGACCCCCCTGTGCAATAATGAGGAGTTTTGTAGAAACTATCAAATTGTCATAACCCTCCACTTCTCCTCCTTCTATGTAGCCTGTAATCCTATTAGCTGAGAGCATAGGCAGTCATGGACTGGCACAGCCCTGCCTTAGAAAAAATCATAAACAACACAAAAAGGAGGAAAAGGCAAATTTCCATTCACCACTTGGGGCAAAACCTCATCCTGTGCTGTGAGTCTCTCCCACAAGACAGTTTTAGCATGAACACCCATACAACTATTGTACAGAAAGCCTGGAGTCAGGACAATGCAGCCCAGGGGCTGCCAGGCAGGCAGGGCAGGGACCAGGGCCAGGACCCCCATGCCAGCACCGAGGGAGGACCAGCTCTCCTGCCACCACCAGCTGACCACAGTCCTGTGCCCTGGGAATGGGACCACGTGGGCTTCCCAGACCCTCCCAGACCTCACCAGGGTTCTTCCACTCCCAGAAATCACTTGGCTACAGAAAACAGTGCCACTGTTTGAAGGCAGGAGTTCCCAAAGCACACAAAACTGATCCATTACAAAGGTAAATCACCAGATGCCACAGAACCTGAGGAGAGGGGCTCAGGGCACTGATAGATGCTTTTGGGAAAAATTCCATGTGAAATCTTCCCTTTCCTTTGCTGCTGGACTCGCACTGAAGCCAGTGGTGATTTGGCCTGCCCAGAAATGCTCCTGAAAAGCAGGGCAGGCACTTCCTGCACACACCAGAGCCCTTGAAGTCCCTGGTGATCAGCACCGTGCTGGCTGCTTCACACACGGGTGCCCAGAGAAGAAAAGACAGCAGAGACTTCCAGGCAATTCCCAGAGGAACACACAATGGGGAGGGCAGAAGAAAAAGAAAAAGACTTCAAACTGCTGCTCCCAGCCCCAGAACAAATGGCATTTTCTCAGCCCTCTCATCCCTTTGATGGCAAATAAATTAGAACCACAAATAATAATCCCCAGCCCTCCTGCAGTGCCTTTCATCTGCCGAGCTCAGAGCTCCCCAAGCATTAATTCATCACGTCTGGTAACACCCCGTGAGGGGTGGAAATATCCCAGTGTTCCACTTGAAAAACAAACC